CAGGGGCGGCCGAGCCGGCCCCTGTCGGACCGGACGAAAGGGGGGGATTGGGAAACGGGGGGTTACGAAATCTGATGCATGCAGCTGGTTTCGGCCCCACAGTGGTCCCATTCCTCGATACATGGCCGCCTCTGGCGCCGGGAGGCGCCAGGAAAATCAGCTACGCGAGCTGATTCTCACCCCCCCCCCTTTGATATCCCCCCCTTACGCCCGGCCCGACCCTGGCAGACCCAGAGATCCGAGGATGCGATGTTTCGTCCATGCGGCGGTTTGTCCTGGATGGCGGCCTCGGGGGCCCGACATCGGGCCCAGGGACCACCCAAGCATGGATCTGGGGCGAAAAAACACTCCTGGGAAAGGGGGGTCGGGGCCTTCAGGGCCGCTGCTCGACAACATCCGATCGGCGCATGTCTGGGAGCCATCCCCCTCCGTGACGTCCCCCTCGCCTCGCCCCGCGACCTGTGTATGCGGCTGGAGGGAAGCCTGGAAGGCGAGGATGACGTCACGGAAGGTGCTGGTCACGGCAGGGGCCAATTAGACTTAGACAGTCCAGGGTTCGCTATAGGAATTGGCTTCCTGTCAAAACCGCCGAAACCTTCCCGAAACTCTCCGAAGACCCTCTGGGAAGGGTTCCGGCAGGATTTGGAGGGTTGCCCGGGGGGATGGGAAGGGTTTTCGTCGCTTTGGGGGGAGGAGACCAGTCCCTGGCGAACCCTGGGCTTTCTAAGTCTAGGCTTAAAGTCGGGCGTGTCCCTCTACAGCAGGAATATGCAAAAATAGCTAAAAGAGAGTCGTGGGACGATGTTTCAACTATTTTGACTCTTTTTCAGTATTTGTTTTGACTATTTGTCAAACCTGTCTTCCAAAATCCGCCTGTGGAGGACATGCTCGACCTGAGTTTAGGCCGCGCCCGAAAAGGGGCTCGGGGGGCTCCAGGGCCTCCAGCTTCACCCTCAGCGAGGGGCGGCCCCACGCGGACTGCCTGGACGACGACCTCGGGCACCAGGAGAGCGTTTTTTGTTTACCCGCTGGGCCATAACGCGAGATCCAATCCTCCAATCCTCCAATCCTCCAATCCTCCTCCTCCTCCTCCTCCTCCTCCTCCTCCTCCTCCTCCTCCTCCTCCTCCTCCTCCTCCTCCTCCTCCTCCTCCTCCCTCCTCCTCCTCCCTCCCTCCCTCCCTCCCTCCCTCCCTCCCTCCCTCCCTCCCTCCCTCCTCCCTCCTCCTCCTCCCTCCTCCCTCCCCTCCTCCCTCCTCCCTCCTCCCTCCTCCCTCCTCCTCTCCTTCTCCTCCTCTTCCTCCTCCTCCTCCTCCTCCTCCTCCTCCTCCTCCTCCTCCTCCTCCTCCTCCTTCTCCTCCTCCTCCTCCTCCACCTCCTCCTCCTCCTCAACCTCCTCCTCGTCCTCCTCCTCCTTCTCCTCCTTCTCCTCCTCCTCCTCCGCTCCATCCGTCAGTGCGTCCCCAGCACTGCCGCAGTGCGTCCGGCACCACAGTCTGGGGGGGGGCAGGGGCGCAACGTCTTGTATGCCTCCTCCCGTCCCATCCCCCTTGGACGCCCGTTATGGCCGCGAAAAAAGGCATGCGCTCCAGCTCGCCAGCGACCCGATGAGCACGCAGATGTCCGTCTCCAGCCTGAGCGCGCTGCTTCCGACGGGGAAGGCGCTGGAGCTTATCGAGGATAAAAGAAACCCAACCCTCATAACACGATGAAGACGTCGGCTCACTGAGGTCCCCGCCTTTGCATTAGGGATAACGAATATGGGCGGCTTGGTTCGAGAAATCTGCAGGAAGGACCCCCTGTCCCCAATGCTTTTTGCCCTCCGAACTTAGGCCCCCTCCCAAAGGATTAGGGATCCTTTCATTAGTACTCAGGAGCAGAACACGGGGTATCTGACAGACTGGTTGAAGTCGCAGCTCGGGAGCGGCTGGGGCAAGGATCGGCGGCGAGCAAGGGGGGGAAGCGAGAAGGAGAAGGCCTCCTCAGAAGGCGGCAGGACGTTTCAGAAGCCCTCGGGCCTTCTGAGAAGTTCTTGCTTGCATCCTCGGGGGAGGCTCAGAGAACTTCCCAGAAGGCCAGGGGACTTCCGAGCCTTCTGAGATCAAGGCCTCCCAGATGGGGTCGGGGAATCTCACCGCATCGCCGATGCAGCTCCGATGCGGTTCGACGTGGGGCCCGATTTGCTTCACGTCGACGTCGCCGATGCATCGCCGACGTCGACGATGCAGCGCCAGTGCATCACCGATGCATCGCCGATGCATCGCCGATGCACCGGCGATGCGGCACGATCCTCCGACCCCAACTACTCCGACCGCACCTAGGAGGCCTCTGCGAGAAGGCCCGACCCTTCTCACTTCCCCCCCCGGGCTCGCCGCCGAGAGGAGGGCATCGAAGAGGCGCCCGAGGCCCAGGCGGCGGTCCTCGATGACTGCGGCGCGGCCTCCGCGAGGGGCAGCGGCCGCGGTCTTCCGGCCAGCCCCCGCGACCTCCAGCGCGAGAAG